TTGTTGTTGTTGTTGTTGTTGTTGTTATTGCTGCTGCCGCCGCTGTTGTTGTTGTTGTTGCTGCTGCTCGTATTTACATTGACGGGGTTCGCGGTCGGCACGGCGCCGCTGTAACCATTATGCACATTATTTACATCGTGACTCAACTTATTTACAATAATGTCCCTCTGAGTTATACAGTGATTGGGCAGCGGGGCTATTATTTTGGACGACGATATGCTCGTCTTGATCATACTGGTGTTCTCCGACACGTGCTTCGAGTCAAAGTACGGCCGGACGCTGTTGTTGTTGTTGTTTGTCATTTGTTGTTCGGATGCAGCAAACACCGGTGACTCGGTGATTTTCCACGGTCCGCTGCTAGGTTGCACGACAGAGTTCGAAACGGGACTCGGTCGTACAGCCACTCTCGGTATCGTTGACAGCGAGGTCTGCAGCGAGGTCTTGCCGGTCTCTTGGCACGTGACTCTCGCCACGGCTTGAGGCTCCGACGGGCAAGTGGTATCCGGCGGTAGCTGGATCGACGGATGTTGCATCGGTTCGACGGTGCCGCTTTGCCGACACGACGACGACAACGGCGACGGCGACGGTGACGACACCAGGACAGGAACGTCAATCTGCGGCGTTGCGATGGCTGGTGCTTCCGCCATGGGCGGATTCGACTGCTGATTCACGACCACGTAACCACCGGTGGACACCGTGGACAGATCGGCGACGTTCGACACGCTCTGAACGGCCGATATAGGCGGTATAACGGCCGGTACGCTGCTGTTGGTCACGTTCGAAGCGTTGGACAAAGGACTAGCTGCTGCTGCTGCTGCTGCTGCTGCTGCTTGGTTGAGTATATTGGAGGAGACGTTGGATACGCTGGGTGCTGTAGGTACGGTAGGTGCTGTAGGGACGGTGGGTGCTGCGACAGGCAAGTTGGGTATATTGCTGGACACTGCACTGGCTACGCTCGACACGCTGGCCACGCTGAGCATGTTGGACACGCCGTTGCTTGTTCCGCCGAGCGTACTGGGCGCGCCAGTTATATTCGGTATACTGGCTATACTGGACAAACTAGGCATGCTAGGCATACTAGGTATACCGGATGTGTTGGTTGCACTGGAAGGTGGTATACCAGGCATACTGGATATGCTAGGGGCTATAGCAGGTAGGCTAGGCAGGCTAGGTAGGCTAGGTAGGCTAGGTAGGCTAGACAGGCTAGACAGGCTAGGCAGACTAGGCAAACTAGGCAGGCTAGGTAGGCTAGGCAGGCCAGGTACGCCGGACACGTTGGACACGTTGGACACGTTGGGTATATTCGCGACGCTCGACATATTGGACACGTTGGAGACGCAGTTGGAGACGGAGGGAATGGCGGGTATAGTCGGTATGGCGGGGACAGTCGGAACGTTAGGTACGTTGGATACGCTGGCTATGTTGGTCACGTTGGGCACGTTGGGCACGTTGGCAACGTTCGACACGTTCGGCACGCTTGGCACTGCTGGCACGTTCTGGACAGACT